GGCTGGATTCGAACCTGCCACCTTAGGTGTATGTGGTTGGTGCCTTAGCCACTTCAGCCACAGGCACCAAGCCAATACCTGCATTTTAAGATACAATATAAGGCCAACTTGCTGCTGACTCTGTGAAGACAAAATATTTAAATGTTTTCTCCCTTGAAATTAAAATATATGTGGGAAAACATAATGTATACAAAATCCTTAGAGGGAAAAAATTGCCTGGAATCTGGAGTTGGATTATTGTTAGAGAACAACTATTAGTGAATTCATTAGAGTTCTGCTTACACTTGCTGCAACTGTGATTATTTGTGTGAACCAAGTTTTTTTTACTTTTTGAGACAGAGTCTCACTATGTCACCCTGGGTAGAGTGTGTGGTATCACAGCTCACAGCAACCTCCAATTCTTGGGCTTTAGCAATTCTCTTGCCTCAGCCTCCCAAGTAGCTGGGACTACAGGCGTCAGCCACAACGCCTGGCTATTTTTTTGTTGCAGTTGTCATTGTTGTTTAGCTGTCCTGGGCCAGGTTTGAACTCGCCAGCCTTGGTGTATGTGGCCAGCACCTGATCCACTGAACTATGGGTGTCACCCTGAACCAAGTTTTTTAAATAAGGATAACTTATAGTCAAATATTTATGCTTTTCAAGCTTATGCATATATAAAGTTTAGTTTTCTTGGTGAAATTCAGTAAAAATTAATATAAACTGCTATTTTTTTCCCCAAAGTACCAGGTTTTAATTATGTTTTTACCATACATGATTTTACATAATTTTCTGTCATTTTTCATATTGGAACAAAATTTTCATCCTTGTTTTTGTCTATTTATTTATGTTAGTCCTGATCAGTCATATGATAAGTCTATAAAACAATTTTCACAAGTTTTCTTTTTGTTGTTAAGAAGAAAGCATTACTGGATAACAATCTACCTTGGGCTCCCTGAGAGGAGGTAGGACAGCCTTAATTAAAAATCAAATATCTTTGATTCTTTTAGGCTTTGATGAAATGCAGTGGAACCTCTGTAAATTGACTACCAAAGAGACTGTAACAAACTAGTCAATATCAGGGACTAGGCCTACTGTACTGATATGCACATGTCATGTGCATCACATGTGGCTCCTGTCTGGTCCATGAAAATTAGGTCAATTGAAGGAGGTAGTCACTGTAGGGAGGTGGTCAACTATGGAAATTCTATTGTAATCTATGATTCCTGTCACTAAGATTTAAGACATAAATATGATCCTAGAAAACAGGAGGCTATCTTTCTCTAAATGATTAATTTTAATCTTCTGATAGTAAATTTCTAAATCTTTATTGAAACGAACTAAGAGTTAGAGAAAACCAACTGTCAACAAAATTCTGCATATGTTCAGAGGGCCTTAAAAGCTGAGCATGCTCTTGGATTGTGTATGAAAACACCACACTGTACCCCCAAAGTGCATCAATGTACACAGTTACCATTCAATAAAAAAAAAAAAAAAAGAAAAGCTGAGCATGCTTCTTTTGCCTGGTTAATAGTGGTTAGTGACCACAGGTTCCCAGGCTTGTTCTGAAGAATCGACCACACCTCAGGTTAGTTACTTTCTCTATTCTACTTCCCGACAGCCTTCATTGAAGGTCTCGGCTTAGGGTCTGCTATGGTCAGATCTGCTATTTCCATCCTTTGTCTTGCTGTTTAGATTTGACCTTCAAAGAGATAAAAATCAGCTTTTGTGTCAGCAATTCATGTGACATTCCCTTTTTTTTTTTTGAGGCAAAGACTCACTTCGTTGTCCTTGGTTGAGTGCCATGATGTCATAGCTCACCGCAACCTCAACCTCTTGGGATCAAGCAATCCTCTTGCCTCAGCGTCCCCAGTAGCTAGGACTATAGGTGCCCACCCACAATAATCTGCTATTTTTTTAGATATTGGGTCTTGCTGTTGCTCTGGCTGGTCTTAAACTCCCAAAGCAATCCACCTTCTTGTCCTCCCAGAGTGCTAGGATTATAGGCATGAGGCACTGTGCCTGGCCTCATGTGACATTCTTAAGGACGTGCTAAAGCTATATTGAGCTCCCTGCTTCCTTTTGACCATGGAGTTTGATGAATTTGGTAATGATTAAGGTATTTGTGGCAAATGAAATGTGTCAAATTTTTTAAGTATTAAGAAATGGAATATTGGCTCCATGCCTATAGCTCAGTGGCTAGGGCGCCAGCCACATACATAGGAGCTGGCAGATTTGAATCTAGCCTAGGCCTGCCAAACAACAATGACAATGACCAAAAAATAGCTGGGTGTTGTGGTGGGTGCCTGTAGTCCCAGTTACTTAGGAGGCTGAGGCAAGAGAATTGCTTAAGCCCAAGAGTTTGAGGTTGCTGTGAGCTGTGACACCACAGCACTCTACTGAGGGTGACATAGTGAGACTCTGTCTCAAAAAAAAAATTATTCTAAAAATTGAAACAAATACGCATTTTCTTTCTAGGAACCACCTTGTTCTTTTAGTCTCTTTTTTAGATGTCTTAGAACCTTCTAAAGACTTCATCTTGATTAATTCTGTTTGCTGAACTCAAACATTCTTAAAATCTTATCTGTCCCCCATTTTTGGCTTTGGCAAACATTCTCTTTTTTTGAGATATAGCCTTAAGCTGTTCCCCTGGGTAGAGTGCTGTGGCATCACAGCTCACAGCAACCTCCAACTCTTGGGCTTAAGTGATTTTCCTGCCTCTGCCTCCCAAGAGGCTGGGACTACAGGCCCCTGCCACAATACCCAGCTATTTTTTGGTTGCAGCTGTCATTGTTGTTTGGCGGCGAGGCTGGATTTGAACCTGCCAGCTCAGGTGTATGTGACTGGTGCCTTAGCCGCTTGAGCCACATGTGCCAACCTTTCTTTTTTTTTTTGAGACAAAGTCTCACTATATTGACCTGGGTAGAGTGCTGTGGCCTCACAGCTCACAGCAACCTCAGACTCTTGGGTTCAAGCAATTCTCTTGCCTCAGTCTCCCAAGTAGCTGGGACTATAGGTGCCTACCACCCTGCCTGGCCATTTTTTGTTGAAGTTGTCATTGTTGTTCAGCTGGCCCGGACTGGGTTCAAACTGGACAGCCTCGGTGGCGCTGTAACCACTGTGCTATGGAAGCCGAGCCTGGCAAAACATTCTATTTAAAACAGAAAAACAGGCTGGGTGCTGTAGCTCATGCTTGTAATCCTATCCCTCTGGAAGGCCAAGACAAGAGTGCCTGAGCTCCGGAGTTTGAGACCAGCCTGAGCAAGAGTGAGACTGGTCTCTACTAAAAATAGAAAAACTAGCTGGGCTTGTAGCTGGTGCCTATAGTCTCAGCTTCTGGGGAGGCTGAGGCAAGAGAAATGCTTAAGCCCAAAAGTTTGAGGTTACTATGAGCTATTATGCCAGAGTACTGTACAGAGAGTAACAGATTGAGACTCTGTCAAAAAAATAAATAGAATGAAATAAAATAAACAAAAGATAGTAAAATAAAACAGAAAAGCATTATAAACGACAGTGGATGTATATTTGAGCCAAACTTGTACCCAATAGCTTAATTCAGCTAACACTGCATCGTTAGAGCTACCTATCACCAATTTCATCGCCTTCCTCTCACATGCTTTGATTTTCCTGCTTTACATTCTGCCCAAATGTATTCTAAGTGCAAATGTATTCTAAGTGCAAATCAAAATTGTGTGTAGTTTTAAAAAATATAAGTATTACCTTGGGAGTAAGTATGAGAATGAGTTGGGCACTGGCATCTAGGGAAAAGAAAAAAAAAAGGTAGTGAGACTGGAAACTGCAAAATGAGAAGCCTTAAATTAGGTAACTCACATTGCATTCTAAGATGCTATCAAAGTGGCAGTTATTGGCAGACGCGGTGCAAGAGCGAACCCACCAGAAACCACTACAGAGAGTCGGCTCAGAGTCTTTCCGGAGGAGCGGGATTGCTCTTTCACGAATTCATTTATTTAGTAGGCATTCACTCCGATGCCTGAGGGCGCTTTGATAAGCAGTTTGGAGGTACAAGCAAGTTTAGGATGGGGCCCCTGATTTCCACGAGGCCCCGCTTTTACTGGGCGAGGAGCATTGACCAAACTGACCCGAGGTTAACTGCACCGGTGCGCTTCGCCTCCCCCCTCACGCTGGGAACGCTCCTTGTGTTTTCTCAGTGTCTTCAGAGTGTTTCATTTTTCTTCAGACTCCGGGAAGCCTCCCCGAGCCCGCAGGACTCCCTGGTGCCCCGATCGGGTCCCACCCCTCGCCCGTCCGCCTGCGACGGGACCCGGGCGCGCCCACACCGGACACGCTCTGCTAGCCGGGGCCTCCGCTTCTCAGACTCCTTTTGGAAACTCTCCCCTGGCTTCTGCCTTCCTTTCCTGTGCCGGCTGCCTCCCGTTTCCTGGCGCCTGTCCCTTCCCTGGCTTTTCTCCTGCTCCCTTTCTGAATGGGGGTCGGAGAAAGGTTTTACGTTTCTTTTGGGGGCCCAGTGGCCCCTCTTAATAGTGGGGTCTCGGGAGATAACTGCGCGCGTAACTTCCTCCTGCCCTCTTTCCCGCCAAAAATTCAAATTTGGAATTAAAGGTTGGGGGGGGGGGCGGAGATGGGGAAAGGAAGGAAAAGGTTTCATCTGAGTGGCCGTCCGTCCAGATCTCGAAAATTCGAATTGGAACCTCAAACGGAGCGGGACCGGGAGTGAGAGATTCCGTAAGTCAAGGCTGCCCCCTAGCGGTCCGCGCCGCCCCGGGCGCCCGCGCCTGCCTGGGCACAGGGGGGCTTTACCTTCCAGAACGGTCTCAGCCTGCCCCTTCCAACCACCAGAGAGGCGAGGGGGAGAAAAATATCCGACTCAAAGTTCTGTAGCGCGAATGCTTCTGGGGGCACGTGCTTCCTCCCTCCTTTCCCTTATTTTTTTCAAGCTCCGAGGCCACCCCAACTCCTCATTGCCACTTCTTTACTTGTGGTCTGTATCCTACCCCTTCGAGCCTTTGCAGGGCTGGCTTCTTCCCGGTATCTCCTAGTCCGCCCTCCTCGACTACGTTTGTTGGCAGCGTTTTCTTGTCGCCAACACTTTCCTTGGGCCCTGAAATCGGGCTGATCCTCACTTCTCAGGCCCAGCATCTTGCCGGACAGCTTGGGGGCGCTGAGAGCCCCCTTCCCTGCTTGCCGGGCTCCCTCCAGCTGTCCTTGGCTTTGTCTCCTTCAGGATCTGCCCGGGCCACCTTCAACCCTTCTGACTCCTCTTCCTCCCTCACTCTTTCCAACCCACCTGTTCCTCCACCGGCATCCACCCTCTTTTCTCGGGACCCTGCTGCTGTCTGGGGCCGGTGTCATCTCCCATCTGGATGACTAGCTTCCCCAGGCTCCTCCTTTGCCGCCTCTGTTCCCCACACTGTGATGGTGGGGCTTGTTTCCAAAGATGTCATTCCCTTGTTTAAAGCGGATTCAGTGGCTCTCCAGGGATCTTGGAGGCGTCGTGGCTTTGGCCTGGCAACTCGCTCCATCTCTGCTTAGGCTTCCTGGAAAATTAACTTTTTTTCCCTTGTATGAGCCACAATCTTTCTTTCTCCCCTCCAGAACTTTGCCCTTGTATTTTCCTGTCTGGAACACACTTTCCTTCCCTCTTCAAGATAACTTGTGTTCTTTCCTAGCAGGGGCAATGCTCCCTGAGGCCCCAGGCCCCAGGCCCCACGGAGACACCCTTTCTCTGGAATCACATTATGGCGCCCCCACTGTTAATCACACTGTATCGTTGGAGCTGCTCAGCTGTTTTCCTATTTCCATCTACCTCTGGACTGTAAAC